TTCTTTCTTTCTTTCTTTCTTTCTTTCTTTCTTTCTTTCTTTCTTTCTTTCTTTCTTTTCTTTCTTTCTTTTGAAGCCTGTCCTGGCACTAGCTCTTGTAGACCAGGCTGGCCTTGAACTCACAAAGAAAAGATTCCCCTGCCTCTGCCTCCCGAGGACTGGGAATAAAGGCTTGCACCGCAACGACCCAGATGAGACATTTTCAATGGAGTAAAAAGACACATAGGCAAGTGTGTATTTTAACATACGCAAAAAGAACACATGCTGGTTAATCTGAACAGGAATACAAACAGCTAAATGGCAAATGCAGAGTTTTCACGTTCACCAATAACAATCGAGAATGGAAACATCTTTAATGGCAAGAACACCCCAGGGACTGGCCTCTGCATATGATGGCATAGGTGGCTTACTAGCCCTAGCCTATTAACCTCATTCCATTTCTCTGTGTCCCCCATATGGAAATTCCCAGTGTGCAGCGTGGCAGAACTGATGCTCACACAGCTTTAAACAGAAGCATCTATCTAGTAGGTGGTAGAGCCCACAGGAGGTTTCCTGCTATATTAATAACAAGAGTGTGCACACGCACTGGCAGTAGTACTTGCTTCCAATTATTCTAGAAAGATACACGAGAAATCCCTCCCAGGGTCACTGTGTACTCATTGACAGGACACTGGGCAGGCATTTAAAAGAATCCTTATGGGCTGGGGAGATGGCTCAGTGGCCATTCTGTCTAATGTCTTCTGGCCTTAGTGCCTCCTTCATACAAGGCAATTATTGTCTATACTTTTCCTCCGTGTGTACCCACAACTCAGCAAGCATGTGGAGACCAGAGGACAACCTCAGGTCATGACAAGCTCAATAGAGGCCTGAGTCTCAGTAGTTTTCCCTAAGGCAATGCCAGGTTCCAAGAAAGACCACAAACTGGGACTATCCAGACAACTCCCAGGAACTGACCATCCAAATTCTTAACATTCCAACCATTGCAGATAAGATCACTCGTCAGCACACACCCATTGGCTTTTCACCAGGACACCCCTAGACAAGTCAGCCAATCAGGGGTCCCGAATCTTAGAAATATCTCAACGCCACCCCCCCCCCCTTTGCTGCTATAAAAACTCAACCCTACCTGTGCTCAGGGCTCTCTCCAACAACAACGAGTTTCCGGGTTTGCAAACTTGTGTATAAAAAAGGTTCTTTGTTTTTACATACAGGACTTTTTTAGGGTACTTCGTTTTTTAAAACGTGGGTACTGGTGATCTGGTCTCAGGTGTTCAACGGAGCCATCCTCCTTTCCCGGCAATATCACTTTCTGTTAATATTTAAATGCGGGGACCGGAGAGAGGGCTCAAGGATTAAGCACAGGTTGTTCTTCCAGAGGGCCTATATTCGATTCCCAGCACCTATGTGACGGCTCACAGCCCGTACTAGGTGATCCGATGCCCTCTTCTGGCCTCTGTTGGCACCAGCCATGCACATACTATACAGATACACAGGCAGACAAAACACAAATACACATAAAATAAAAATTAAACAGGAAAATGCCACGTTAGAGAAATTGTTGTCACCCATTAAAAGGGGACTTTTGCAAAGTAGCAAGAGAGCATCCGCAGAAGAATAAATTCAAGAAGAAGCTGGGTTATGAGGAACAGGGGAGGGCACCTTCACTTTGACAGGAAACAGCCTCAGCTGTTGAGGATGCCGCAAGGGTGTTTGCGTGGTCGATAAGACCGTGCATGTGACTTAAAACCCTGTATAGTGAGTGGACCTGACGGAAAGGAGGATCGTGCGAACACAGGACTTCCAGGGCACTCTGGGACGCGGTTATTTCATCAAACAAAACCTCATCAGCATCCCAAGCTAAACCAAATTAACGAGCCACTAAGAAAGCTTATGCACATCAGAACCATCCATCCCGACCCAGGTTGGCGGGAGCAACTGTGTGGGGTCCAGGGGAGAGGGGCCTGGAGGGTCCGAGGCAAAGGGTGCGGCCTGGGGGCAGCAGCCGGGCCGCAGCCATCCATCGGGTTAAGGGCTGGCGCACGTAAGGACGCGGAGCTTGGGTGCGGATGGAGAGGGTCCCGCGCATCCAACAGAATGCCACTCACCATCTGCTGCAACCTTTCGCCCTGTGGCTGCTGTCTCAGCACCCTAAGACAAAGGGGCCGTCCCGCCCGGTCTGCGCAGTCGTCAATCCCAGGGGACCCCGCCCCCGTCCCCACCCCCAAGTCCTGGACCACAGCGCCTGAGGGTCGGATGGTACGCCTTGCCTCTGGCTTTTCTTGCCAAAGGACTCCTGGCCTGAGCCTCAGGACCACTGAGAACCGAGGCCTCCACGGCGCCTAGAGAGACCCCGCCTGCTCTTTGAGGCGGCGGCGGCGGAAGCCGGCTCCCACTGTCCCTACAAACCCGAGTGCCTCCCCGCCTCGCCCCCTCCCTGCGGCCTCTCTACTCGAGGGGGGCTTCGGTCACTTCCGCCAAGCTTGTGCTTGTCTTCTAGCGATTTCCCTGGTGATCAGGCAGCCAGGAGCACTCGTCCTGGAACCCATCAGGTCGACTCGGGCTGCTCGGGTTTATGGTATAGCAAGTGTTTAGCTGCTTAAGGAACCGCCGGTCTTTCACCTTCAGCAGCAGCACATCCTCTAGCCTCAGCAATGTGTGACTATTCCAGTTGCTGCTTGTGTTTGCCCCACTTGGTATAAGCCGTCTTTTAAAATGAGTTATTCTAGGGCTGGAGAGATACAGCAGTCAAAGTGCTGTACACGCCCGAGGATCCGAGTTTGATCACTATTACCCATGCGGGAAAAAAAAAAAGTTGTAATCCCAGAGACAGATGCCCAGGCCTCTCTGGCCAGCCAGACTAGTTAACTGGCAAGGGCAGGCTCCCGTGAGCCTTTTCAAACAACAACAACAACAACAACAACAACAACAACAACAAAAACCATCAAGGCGAATGGCTCCTCGGATGGCCCTCTAGCCTCCACATGCACACATACTCTCTGCTGGAAATTCAACTCAGGGACCCTTGTACGTTAAACACAGGGTCTCCCGCTGAGTTGCACTGGATCCCACCTCTCTATTGTGGTTTAATTTTTATCTCTCATTGTATTAGTTATTTGTCTTCCTATTGTGACAGAATACCCAACATCCAACAAAAGAGAGAGTTTATTATTATTTTTAACTGGTTATTAGATGTGGGTTTTTGTTGTTTTGTTCTATGGTTTTTCGAGACAGGGTTTCTCTGTGTAACAGCCCTGGCTGTCCTGGAACTCACTTGAACTCACTGAGATCTGCCACCATACTGGGTTAGATGTGTTCTTTTATTCTTTAAAGAATGGTGGTTTGGGCCAGTGGTGTTGCACACTAATCCCAGCAGACACAGGTGGATCTCTGAGTTCAAGGCCAGCCTGGTCTACAAAGAGAGTTCCAGGACAGCCAGGGCTACACAGAGAAACCCTGTCTGGAGGGTGGAAGTGGGGAAAAACAAACAAAAACAAACCAACAAATGGTGGTTTGGGGCTAATGTCTGGAAGTGGAGATTAGGAACAAGAACAGTCTTCTCAACTCCAGACCTTGTGGACCAGGTTGGAATTTGTGTGATGGAGCAACCATTGTTACCTTTATTTAAAGTGTGTGTGTGCTTTTTACTTTATTTTAAAGTGTGTGTGTTTGCGCATTTGAATGCACTGTCAGTGGATGAGGGCATCAGATCCCCTGCAGCTGCAATTACAGCTGCCAGATGTGAGTGCTGAGAGTCAAACTTCGGTCCTCTGCAACAGTATGTACTCTTAATTGCTGGGGCAGCCGGTTAAAACCAGGACAATAAGCTGAAGGCAACATTCAGAGAAGTCACAATATGGCTGTTGATGTTCATGAATGATGAAGCTGAAGGGAAGGTGTGGGGACCGGAGATCTTTTCAAGGATATGAACATATTTATTATTGATAGAGTTGAGCACTCTAGAAAGAGTCAGGCGTGTCTCTACACAGGTCCAGAATTGCTCGGAAGAACAGAGAGAGCTGGACTAAGAGTGTAATGGCTCATCTTGTCAGCTCCACAGCATTAGAGTTGCCCTGGGAACACATGGGCATGTCTGTAAGGGACTGTCCAGATTAGGGTACCTGAATGTGGGCAGGGCCATTCCATGAGTTAGAGTTCTTGACTGAATGAAAAGGAGTGAACTGAGTATAAGCTTGCACCGCCCTCTTCCCTTGACCACAGCTGCCTCACACCTACGCCATATGCCTTCCCACCATGGTGGACTGTACTTAACCTGTGAGCCACAGTAAATCCCTGCTTTAAGTTTCTTTGGTCAGGTATGAGTCAAAGCGGTGACAGTTAACTGATACACATGGCATCGGCACAACTGTTTCTAAGACTACACAGAGGTTTGTATGGCTTGACTCCTAAGGCGCCAGTTTTCCCTCTGGTTGGGAGGGAATTCCTTTACTGGGGCCAAAGTATATTAGCTTGGCATTAAGCTAAATAAAGTGGCATTCAGTGATCTCTTGTCAAATGATCGTGGTCTCTTGTGTCTTTTGTCCAATCTCCAGGCCTTTGCCCAAACTCGTGTAAGGTATGGAGGCTCGCGACCCGTACCAGAAGGTAACAGCAGATTTGGGTGTTACACTTCACAGCAAAGGGGCAAATCTTGGGATGAGGCATAAGAATTTATAGACATGTACAGATAGGGACATTTGCAGGCTAAAGATTCCAGTGTTAAGATGACGTCCTCGAGTTTGGCCAGATGTGTTGACTTTTGTGTGTGGCTGACCAGGGATGTCCCACTCAAGAAGAGGAAAGCAGCTACTTCTTGCTGAGCACCATTAGCTGTGAGTGGTGATGGATTCCCTGTGCGTCCATTCAGCACTTTAAGGTGCTCTCTGGGCAGTCCAGCAGTGTGGTACAAGTCCTGTATTATTGTGCCATTAGCATAATTTGAATTACTACAAGCCAGTTCTCCACTTGGATTTATACGGGGCCTAAACTGAACCCACAGAAAATTCAGAACATTCAGTTTCCACATAAGTGGGTTGTATAAACAAACAGCCCCCTCACCTGTGCTCTCTAGGTAAATCTAGTAATTCATCATCCTGGGTGAATTTTAATGGAATCATACTTCTGTTTCTCATTGGGACTTTATGGGGAGCAGGAAAGTGTTATGTCTCCCCCGGGGAACAATATTCTCACAACTCTCAAACTTGTTGGGGGACCTGTAGACAAATACTGAATAATCAATGGGTTTTGATAGGGATAATAGATTAGTAATTCTGAAATTACTATGCAAAACCTTAAGTCAGTATACTGAAGATAGTAAGAACGTATTTCTGTTGAAGTGGACACGCAGTTATTAAGACAGAAAGGAGGAAGGGTAGAGTGAGCCTTGGTGTTGGAACTGCTGTCTTCTGATTACTGACTGGTAAGTGAGCTACTTTAAGATGGCATTTGTGCATACTCACCTGATCCTAGCTCTCTGCTGAGTGCTCTGTTGAGAGATCCTACAAGGTGTGGAGCCTTTCTAACGAGGCATATACCCGGCACTTAGATTTTGCTTCCCCCCCTCACCCCCCGAGACAGGGTTTCTCTGTAGCTTTGGAGCCTGCCCCAGAACTAGCTCTTGTAGACCAGTCTGGTCTCGAACTCAGAGATCCACCTGCCTCTGCCTCCCGAGCGCTGGGATTAAAGGCGTGTGCCACCACCGCCTGGCTTAGGTTCTGCTTTCTAAAATACCATATTCACAACAGGGATGAGGGGTTCCAGGGGAAAGGGCTCACCGTACAACTGGGGAAAGGAACATACAGGATGAGCTTGGACTAGCCTGGAATGCCAGAAAGCAGAGGAGGGGCTAAGAGGTAACAAGATGTGCAAAGGACCCTGAAGTAGTATGAAGGAAAAGGTTTTATAGGTTAAATGTGGGACCATCTGAGTATCACAGTCCACAATGAGAATTACCGACTGGAGCTCACTAAACAAACAGGAACCAATGGACCCGTACTAAATAAACTGGCAAGTCATGGGGAAGGTGAAACTCTTCCTTTGGTAGTGGAATTAGAAGAGTCATGATGAGACACAAACAAGGCAGATACTGACGAGAAACAGACTGAGTACAGTAACTGAGAAGGAAAACAGTAACTTCACATGCAGAAACCTCCAAGTTCATTTTATCAGTTTATTTATATTTATTTTTGAGACAAGAGTCTGTGCTGGCTAGCTTTATGTCAACTTGAGACAAGCTAGAGTCAGGAGAGAAGGGAGTCTCAATTGAAAAACAAAAAGCCTCTATATGATCAGGCTATAGGCAAGCCTGCAGGACATTTTCTTAGTGATTGACATGGGAGACCCTAGCCCATTGTGGATGGGGCAACTCCTGGGTTGGTGGTTCCAGGTTCTAAAAGAAAGCAGGCTGAGCAAGCCCTGGTGAGCAAGCCAGTGAGCAGCACTCCTCTATGGCCTCCGCATCACCTGCCTCCAGGTTTCTGCTGTTTGAGTTCCTGCCCTGACTTCCTTCAGTGATGGACTTCAATGGTGGATGTGGAAGTGTAAGCCAAATAAATCCTTTTCTCCCCAACCTGCTTTTGGTCATGGTGTTTCATCATAGCAAGAGAAACCCTAACTTGGATAGCCCCACTGTTCTTAGGCAAGCTGTAGACCAGGCTAGCCTTGAACTCACAGAGATTGCCTCCCAAGTGCTGGGATTAAAGGTGTGTGCCACCACTGCCTGGCTCCTGTGACACTCTTATGTCTACCTCATAGCTGGTTTCTAGGGATCTCTCTGGGGACAGATACATTGTACTCAAGCTTTCTCCCCCTTCACAGCTCTGGGAAAATGAAGATGTTAGTGACTCGTACCGTGTGTGTGTGTGTGTGTGTGTGTGTGTGTGTACCCAGAAAGTGTTGGGTCTTGGGCAGACCAAATATCCAGGATCATCCTAGCATCCAGTTGGTGTGGGGTTTCAGCAGCGGATGTATGCAAGGGGGCACAATAAAGAAACTGCCCACATGTCAGCTCCAATATTAGGGGTAAGGATTTTATTGTGCATAAGAGAGAGAAAATATCCAGAGGCATCTGGAGGAGTCCAGAGCAGAGAGGAAGAGAATGCAGCTGCCTGGACACAGCTAGTGTTAGGCAGAGGGAGAGAACAGTGGAGACAGGGAGAGAGAGCGAGAGAGAGGGTGAGAGAGGGCGAGAGAGAGAGCGAGCGAGAGAGAGAGAATAGTGAGAACATCAGGAGTGGGGGAG